GATGTGAGGCTGAGGTGTAACCAGATAATCAGGTTTTGCTGCCTAGGTCTCCAGAGCATGTGGGGACTGAGCTAGTAACTCCTTAGCTTGCTGTGGATTCGTGGATTTGTTAAGTTTCTATTCTGTTTCCAGGAAGGAATTCAAGTGTAAAGTGATGATTGTGTTTACAGCGTTAAGTTGTCCAATTTTAATTCCTCCTTTGCACGAGGGAATAACCAATAGCAAGAATTCCAAGGGGCATTTTTACCAATGCTTGCTGAAAGCATTAATGATCTGTGGTGGTCCTTCATATCCAGCCTTGGAGAATCTCTGGATTAAACCCTGATGGGCTGATTGCTGCTAAAACCAACCACAAACAAACCCCACCACTTCACACACAAGTTGCCATGAGGCTTTTATCCTACTTAACTCTGAATCCTGGCATGATACACCCTTGGATTTACGTGGGCAGAACTCAGAGCTTTGCTAAATGGAATAGTGCAGCCAACTCTTCCCGCTGGCAGGGGATGAGCTGTAAGAACAAACTGTGTGCCCAGTAAGAGTGGTTTGTGCTGGACAGGTCTGGGGGAAGGGATGTGTGTTTTTAACTCCCTCCCTGAGGGTTTCAGCTCCTGTTTCATGAATGATTCATTGCAGCCTCCCAGGGAGCTGCTTGCCCTAGTGTAACTGTGCTGTGGTGTCCTGCATGCTAATGTGGTGTCCTGAGAATGCTCTGCAGCTCCGACCGAGCCCTGAACCTCCATCAGTGTGAGTGCAGGGGAGAAGTCATTTCACATGAGAGATGCAGTGGGTTCCCTGCCATAGCCTTCATCCTTCTTTAGCCCAGGACTCAGCACTGAACCTTGGGGTTTGTTCAACAATTGCTGAAATTCCTGAAGACCTGGTTTTGAAACTGGAGGAGCTCATTCCTGAGGTCCTCATGTTGGTTTTCATCAAAACCAGCGTGTGCACAGCCCCAGGGCAGTGTCTGTCCCCTGTGCTGGCACTGGTGAAGCACCTCCAGTCCTGGGGGCACTTCTGGGCCCAGAAGGACATTGAGGAGCTGCAGTGTGTCTGTCCAGGGAAGGGAATGGAGCTGAGGAAGGGGCTGGAGCAGCAGAATGGGGCTGGGGGGGGCTGAACCTGGAGAAAAGGAGGCTCGGGGGGGACGGGACGATATGTGATTAATGTTTTTTGCTAACAATGAGCAAACAGACAATTTCAGCACCTAGGATGATATAATTTGAGCACCAGAGACCCCACTCCAAGTACTCAGCTTCACTTGTATTGAGTGCTGACACTCTTCAGCACTGATAGCTGAAGAGTTCAGGCAAATGAGGCTTTTACAGTGCACGGCGTTTGCTGGTTTGTTATTTGGGCTCATCTCAGCTGGTGCTGAGCATACTCTGAAAGTAGTTCATAAACCCTGACTTAATTCTAAAATGCCTCTCGGCCCAGGTCTGTGCAGACAGCAGTAGTAGCTTTTAGGTGTTTACACACAGTAACTAAAAAATGACTCAAACAGAAGATCTGATATGGGATTAAAAGGGCAGAAGAGAGAGGAGAAGGTACTTAAGGTGAATCCATTTTTAAAGTGTCTCTTTAATCTTCATAGCTGGTTCTTCTGGATCAGCTTGTGTGGCAGCATGGAGTTATTGCTGCAGCTGGAGGTGTGAACTGTTTTGTTTATCTGAGGAGGCTCAGAGTCAATATTGAATAAGTTTCCTGAAGAGCATGAGATGAGTCTCTTATCAGGAGAGTGAAGGTTAATCTTGGTCCCGGGTAGCCAAACTGCTCCTTTGATGGGCTCCCCTGTGATGGTGGTTGCCCAGCACAAGAAACTTTGATCCTGACTTTGCAAAGCCACAGTGAGCCAGAACAGCCATGGAGCAGCACCTGAATTAATCATAGGATCATTTAGGTTGGAAAAGACATCCAGAGTTGAGTCCAACCTGATGCCACAGTGCTGTTGGCCTGTGCCTTGTCCTCCACAGCAGCTGTGGTACACGTGTGCTGACGTGTTTGTGTGTGAAGCAGTGCTGCGGTGCTGTGGCTCCTGCACATTTCAGTGTGCATCCCTCCTCTTTGGGCCCTGTGCAGAGCCTGGTGTGATGGGGGTTTGTGTGCCTTTGGAACCCTCAGGAGTGGTGACTCGGAGTCCCCAGAGCATTTGAGGGGTGGTTTGTCTAACCTCTCTATGTCTGGTTTGTCCTTCAGCCTGCTCAGGGCTCAGGTTGCACAGGAGATGTGTGCTGTGAGGTTTCTGGGAAGCATCTCACCCCTGGCTTGTAGCAGCACTGGTGTGGGCACAGCCCCAGGGCAGTGCCTGTCCCTGTGCTGGCACTGCTGAGGCACCTCCAGTCCTGGGGGCACTTCTGGGCACTTCATGGCAAGAAGGACACTGAGGGGCTGGAGAGTGTCCAGGGAAGGGAATGGAGCTGGGGAAGGGGCTGGAGCAGCTGAGGGAGCTGTGGGGGCTCAGCCTGAAGAAAGGAGACTCAGGGGAACCTTCTGCTCTCTCCAGCTCCCTCAGGGTAACCTTCTGCTCTCTCCAGCGTCCTGACAGGAGGTGCAGCCAGGTGGGGTCAGGCTCTGCTCCCAGGGAATAAGGGACAGGACAAGGGGAAACAGCTTCAAGCTGTGCCAGGTGGGGTATTGGGAACTATTCCTTCATGGAAAGGGTTGTCTAGCCCTGGCACAGGCTGCCCAGGGCAGGGGGAGTCACAGTCTGGAGGGATTTAAAAGCTGTGTGGATATGGCGCTTAGGGACATGATTAGTGGTGGCCTCAGCAGTGCTGGGAATGGTTGATGCAATGATCTTAAGGGTCTCTTCAAATCTAAATAATCCTGTGATTCTAGGAATTTCTCCTGTAGAGCAGAGAATTCCAGGAGAGCTGGTTGATCTTCCAGAGTGACCTTCCCAGAGCAGTCCAGCACGATTTACAGGAAGCCAGGCAGGGTGGCAGCAGGCCAGACTCTCCTGCTGAGCTCAGCTGCGGGAGAAAGCCCTGTGGAAGGAGGAGGTGGGACAGGTTACCTGGGAGAGATGCACAGCAGCATCCTGGGAGCAGCCAAGGATATAATTAGAAAAGCTTTTCTTCCTCTCTGCTCTTCCTGACCAGATTCTCTGGTCCAACACGGCATTAACTTGCTCTGTGGTTGTGCCTAATGAAGAATTAATGCCATGTGGTGTTGCTGCTCTGGCTGTGAACGAGATGGGACTTGTCAAGAGCACATCCACATCGTGGAAGTCAGGAGAATACAGTGCCCAGGAATAAAAATGCGCAGTTGGATTTGTGTGTGTGAAAAACTACAAATACCCTAAAGTTACTTGTGAATGGACTCACAGCACTACTTCACTTCTCTCCTGGTTTTGCTGGCTGGAGTGGAAAAATTGACACCACAGGTGGAAATTCAGATAATCTTAATTCCTTGCTCCTCCTGGACTGCATGTGGTGCAGAACAAGATTTCAGGTTTGGTTCCAAGTCAGTGTTGTGCCTTCTTGGCAGTGCTGTGTGAACATGAGCAGGAGCTGATATATACCTAAAGACTCCGTTGATTAGGCTGAAATCACTCTTCAACAGCCTCGAGTTTGGATCCTGTTGCTGTGGCATCCAAAGTTAGAGCTGGAAGTGAAGTGGAATGAGTCACTGAGGCTGATACCAGTGAGAGAGCAGACAAATCCCTCTTATATCTGCTCAGAGCAGCTGTGGCTGTCTCGCCCCTAGGAGTGTTCCAGACCAGGCTGGACAGGGCTTGGATGGTAGCTACCTGGGCTGGTGGAAGGTGTCTCTGCTCATGGCAAGGGGTGGAACTGGTGACCTTTAAGGTCCTTCCCACCCGAACCAGTCTGGATTCTAAGAAAGTCAGGCTTTAACATCACTTAACAAGAGCTTTCCTAGGATGAGGCCCTCAGCTGGGACTTCCAGAGCTGCAGATGGACCTAGACAGAAATAGGGATTTTGTTCTCTTGAGTGGAAAGATGCTGCAGCTCAGCTAGAGCCTTGCAGAGTCCTTTCAAAGAGATCTGAACCTGCATGCATCGGGATAACGTTGGTGTTCCTGGAAAGAGGGAGGTGCAGGGGCTCAGACGAAGCTGTTAAACAGAGGAATTCAAATGTTGATTTCCTTTTGCAGAGTCACTGCAGGTTTCTGTGCTGAGCACACTGTGGTTTGTCTGTGTCTGAAGCCCCAAGGCAGGACTGAGGGTGATGTGCTGGGCACGGGGAAAGCTGATGATTAAGAAGGAAACGAGGCATTTCCTGCCCTTCCCCCAGCACAAATACTGCCGAAAATAGCCAAATGACGTGTGGTAACTGGCATCTGCCGGCAGAAGCCTCAAGCATCTCTCAGGCCACTATTGCAATGGTACTTTTGCATCTCAGCCCCTTTGGTAGGGAGGACAGTGATGCTGAGGCACTGGGCTGGGCCTGGCCTGGCCTGGGGAAGGGGTGGGAACGTGTTTGACAATAGAGTAACCATTTTCATGGACTATATTTATGAATTTTTCAGCCTGAACTGTGTGCTGAGAGTTTCAAACGGGCCCAACAGTGTCAACCCCTCGAATTTCTCCAACTTCTTTAATGCCTTCTGCCAAACTCATCTGTAGTTGTTTCAGCTTTGCAAACCTGAAGGATTTCAGCTTTTTTTGGAAGTGTTGCTTCTGAGGTACCTCAATTTCTGGAGCATTCCCCAGTGGAGTTGGTGGGAAGGTGATGGCTAGGGAGCTAACCTGTCACTGTGGAGCATTAAATTCTCCAAGAAGTGTTATTTAGGGGTAGCACATTTGAAATAAAGTTTGAGAATTGAGCTGAAGTAAGACCTTTAACCAGTCTCTGAAAGTCTCTTTGCTCCTTGTGTCCTTCAGGTGGTGGTAATGAGGTGTGACAAGTCCAATAATTCTTCCTCAGTTCATATCCTTGGAGAAATCCAAACCATTAAATGTAGCTTTTCGTGCAGATGAATATTAAAGTGAAAATGCAAATGAGTAACTTCCTCTCAATCTGCTTTTGCTTGCCAGGTCCTGGAGAAATATCCCAACACACCTATGAGCCATAAAGAGATCCTTCAAGTTATCCAGAAAGAAGGACTTAAGGAAATCAGGTGAGTTAAGTACCAGTAAAACCCATTGGTACTTTGGTTCCAGCTCAGTGTAGTTAGCTGTTCACCTCCATCTCCTAAGGATTTTTGGGACTGAAATGTTGCACATTTGGAGTCTTGAGCCCCATTTGCAAACAAGCACTGAAGTCACTGGTGCTTTTCCCAGAGGGAGCTGGATAAGGGTCACATCTAATTCCCAGGTGTGCAGGACTTCAGGCTGTTACAGGATCACCCAGACCCGATCAGGTACTTCAGGCTCAGGGACTAAAGAAATGTCACAGTTCTTTATTTCATCTTTAAAAAAGAAGTGAATAGTCAGTTTAATGGAAATGACCTAACCCAAAACTTGGAGCTATCCAGGGAATTCCAAAGCAGCCTCACTTAGAGATCCTTATCTAGAACACTTCATGCCTGGTGCTCTTTTCTCCAGTGTTACCTGGAGGTGTGTGTGGTTCTGTTAGGGAACCTTGCTGACCCCTCAGGGCAGCCTGATGTGGTGCTGGGCTGGGGAGGGTGCCAGCCTGGTGGGACAGAGCAACTCCACACTCAGCTCTAGAGCTGCTGTTGCCACAGCTTAATTGCAGAGTCCTGGCTCCCATGTCTTTCCCAGAGATGGGAAGTGGTTTTACTGAGAGAGGGAACCATTTGCCTTATGAAGTACAGAGCATTATACTTTTTTCTAGGAAAGGGAGGGGAAAAGAGTCTGTGCCAGTTCATCTCTTTTGGAATACAGCAGCCGTCCTAAATTTGACTTAATCATGTTTTCCACTCCATTTTGCCAGTTTGATCCAGCAATGCATCTGCCTTGCAGGAAGTACTCAAGAGCCCAAGTGCAGGAATTCTGCTGTCACTAACACATCTTTCACCCAAGCTGTGGATGGCACAAGGCTGTTTGCTTTTGGGGAATGTGGGATTTATCTAGCAGTTAGGAAACCGTATGTCCTCATTTAGCTCATGGGGAGGTGAGAAAGAAGTGAAGGTGAGTTCCTGCCCTGAGGATGCACTTGCTTTGGGGCAGTGCTGCACTCAGTCAGCTCAGAGCTTGGCCAGCCTTGGGGCGACTTCAGTTTTGTGCTCAATGCTGTTAATCCTTCGAAGGCTTGTGTTCACAGCTCGTAAACTGCAGCTGCACCCCAGGGATGGACATGCATTGGGCAGTGCTGGTGGCAGAGCCCAAGGCCAGCAGACACCCAGGCACTGAGACTGATGAACCTTTATATCAATTCAGTGGGTTTTTTGGGGGCAGAGCCTTAGGCAGGAGCTCAGGTGGAGCCCAGAAGATCCAGTCTCTGCCTGGCTGGGTCAGATTTTGGACCAAACAGCCATAAAAAAGCAGAACAGAAATGCAGTGATGCCTATAATCCTTCTCAAGTTGACATCCTTCTTTAAGTGCTGATTTGGGGGATTGAGCCTGAGCTGGTAGTGAGTTGTTAGGCTCTAAAGGAGCTGCTGGGCACCAGGACAGCACAAACTCTTCAGCATCTTCAATCCCAAAAGGTGTGGAACTCAATTCCAGCTCTCCCCCTTGGCCACACTGGAATGCTGGGTAGTGATTCTTCTCCTTAAATATTAGATTGTTGTAATAAAGTTTTATTTAGCTTAAAACCTAAAAGTTTGTCACATCCTAAGCAATTGAATTCTAGTTAGTGGCAGTGTTTGTAGCTGGGTTGGGGTTCTGCTAAGCCACAGCCTGTAATGAGATGTGCTTAACACAAATCAGCATTTATTAAAGGAAAAATCCTTTCAGAAGGATTTTAGAGAGGGAATACAAGCTGTCAGGTGAGCTTGTGGAGCTTGTGTTGAGTCCTCTTGTGTGGAGGTTCTGGCAAAGCCTCTGGCAGCAGTGCCCTGTGCCAGCTGGATCAGAAGTGTGTGAGTGCAGGCAGGACCTTGGGCTCTCCTGTTAGCACCTGCCTCCAGGTGTTGAGAGCTTTTTGAACTGTTTCTCAATGCAGCCTGCTTTTAATAAACAAAATTGCTGATTTCTTTGGTAGCAAACCAGTTCCACAAAGCACCTCAGCCCTAAGCTCTGTCAGCTCTGACTGCAGAGTGCTTGTGCATTTTTAACTCACCATCTATGGCCTCAAATCCTTAGATAGAGCAAACTCATTAAAATATCTGATTTCTAGAAAGAAAACAGTTTCAGAAGTGCCAAGTGACTTTACCCCAGATGTGCTGGGATGAGGCAGAGGGAATGGGGAGCCCAGCTGGGGTCACTGTCCTGTTTTCCAGTGCAGCCAGTCCATGGCCCTTTGCTGATCCCATGTGGGCAGCAGCAGCTTGGGAAGAAGCTCGAGGGCATGGTGGGAGGGTTTAGAGAGCTCAGAGCACTGGTGCTGGTGGGGAGGGTTTGGAATTGCAGGGAAGAAGATGGCAATTAAGTGTGGGAAAAACTCACCTCAGCAGTGATTGAGGGCACAGTGATTTGTGCTGTTTGCCAGACATTTGGCTCATTTTGGGGCAAGAATAGGTCTTTCATAAGTTTGGGTTGTTTTTTTTTTTTTGTAGCAGTACAGAAACCCAAGTAGTACTGGCTGAAAACCTGACCTGGATTTTTGATTTTATCCTAGGACTTAAGTAACTTTAATTGTGACATTTTAAAGGTCAGCCTAGGGCCAGTGTTCCCAGGAGTTGGAGCCCTCACACATCCTGAAGCTAAAACTACACTTTTCATGTGATCTGTCATCCCAATTTTCTCAAGTTGCCTGTTTTGACAGGCTGCCCTGATCCCCTGAGGTCCTGTCCCACCTGCAGGCCAGTGCTTGTAGACTGCAGAGGTAAAACCCATATGGATAAACACCCAAGGATTGGCAGTATGCCCACAGCTGGCTCCAGCGTTTGCCCAACATCCCACATTTATGACCTTATCTCCCTTGGCATCGTGGCTGTGGGAAGCCTGGGCATGTTGAGACACTGAGGCTTTGAAGGTGTATGGGATAATGGTGTTATCCCCAGCAGCCAGCTGGGAGAGTTCCCTGAGCTAGAATGTGTGGGATGGACGGGCAGTGAGACTTGGCAACAGAGAATGACATTCGTTGGATGAGAAGGAGCTTTTTTAATCCAGATTTTTGTCACTGGATTTCCTTGATCTCCTTGGGTGTGGTAAAGTCAGTATAAGAATATCTGATCAAAATCAGCGTTCTGAGAGAGATCTCTGCTTGGTTTTTTTTTTCTCTTAATAGCCAGGAATGATTTATTTTCCTTGGATTTTATAGGAGCACTGTGCAGCACCATCCTGTGAGCGTCCGCCCAAACACAGGGACTTATTCTGCCCAAATACTAATCAAGCAAGAAAATGCATCCAGCTCTGAAAATGAGAACATACGTGGTGCTCTGGCTGCTTTTATTTCAAATATTCATGGAATTTCTAACCAAAACAAGTTCTTATACCACTTTTTTTGGGGGGAAAAAGGTCCAGAAGCCAAATTTCCCTTTTCACTAGTCGTATTTGGACCAGAGTGGTTTGGGTTGGAAGGGACATTAAAGCCCTTTTCATTGCACCCCCTGCCATAGCCTGGGACACCTTCCACTAGCCCAGGTGGCTCCAAGCCCCATCCAACCCGGCCTGGAACACTTCCAGGGATGGGGCAGCCACAGCTGCTTTGAGCTGGAGGTGGGACTGGTGGTTTCCAGAGGTTCCTCCCAACTGAATGACCCAAGCCATGGCACAAGGTGGCCTTTGGGCTTCAGTGCCTCCTGTGAACTGGTGAGTCACTGCAGTAGCTCAGAGCCTTCATTCATGCCCAGGGAGTTAGGGGGCTGGTTCTGGGGTGAGGTGTGTCCCACAGATCATACTATTAGCACACACCTGCTTTGGTTCCTCCCTTTGAGGAGGAGAAGTGGCAAATTATGGGCTGGTTTGGAAGGTGGTGCCAGCAAAGTCATCAGTGACACTTAAATAGCTTTATTTAATCCACAGCTGCTTTTAAAGGTAATCTTCAAATAACCCAGGGCACCTTTAGATCTTGGCCCATGGGTTGATACTGGTAATGCTGAGTGTGTGTGTGTGGGTAGGATGGGGACATCCATGTTTCTTACTAGACATTCCTCACATCTCTCTGAGTGAGACTTTTGTCATGCTACTGGGAGATGTACATAAAAGTACTTAAAATGTGATATACATGTCCCTAAAAGTACTACAAATTGTCCATAGAAGTACTACTAACTTCTTAGGGTTGTCCTGTGCAGGACGTCTTCCTCACAGCTGGGATTCTGGGGCTCTTTCCTATGTTTTACAGGTGGGAAAGGGGAATTTGTTGGAAGCATTTTAATTGCATGACCCTTCAGCATTTCTGTGTGAGTTGGTGTCAGCCCCCAGCAGAGGGACTGACAGCAGTGAGGGGCAGGAGTGCTGGTGCAGGGAATTCCTGCAGGCAGCTGGAAGTTGGGGTTGGATTTTCCTGGAGGAGATAAACACTTATCAACTGACATTTGTAACTGAGGACAGAACAGGGGATTCTCTAGGCTTTCATGATGTCTGTAAGTGAAATCTGTGTGGAAAGTCTGTGGTGCAAAGTACAGGTTGGAGCTATATTTAGTTAAATTCGTGTCAAGTGTTAGTCACAGTGACAGTTCCAGGTTAATATTTAACAGGGTTAGTGTGTGCTGAGTGTCACCTCTGGACACTCATGACTGTCCTCCTGTTCAGTGTTTTCTGCCCTGAATCAGGCAGGGGCATCTGCCAGGGCTTTTCCTGAAGCGAGGAAAAGCTGGAGATGGCATTTGTGTCCCTTGAACACCTTCCTAGCAGCACCAGCTCCAGGCCACCTGATCTTTTGGTTCTTGTATCATGAACCTGTGTCTGTTCTTGTTGGAGAATGGCTAAGAGAGCGGGGACATAATCCTGGGAATGCACCTGGGGAAGGCTAAAAAGAGCAAGGACACAGTCCCCTGGGAACGCACGGGAACAGTCCTGGGAACGCACCTGGGAATGCAGTGTACAAGCAAGGCTCTGGAGATAGTGACTTATATATAGATAGGGAGTAACTCAGCTTGGCAGATGGTAGGGGCAA